GCATCGGTAATGGCCAAGTATCATTGTAAAGAAGGTAACTCCAAACATGTTTTGGTACACAAGCATTCAGGTGTTAAATACACAGACTGAGATTTACTACTTTAGGGGAAGTAATGCACCCCAACTTTTTTATCTGGAACTCGTGACTCACACTTGGATATTTAAGAATGAAAAAAATACAAAAGGTTAAAACTGTTGTCTGTTTCTGAGAAATTAACCCTGCCTTACAAAATACTACCTCAAAGATCCCTTCCAATTTATATCAATCAAGTACTCACTGAGAGGGAATCTTTTGAATGACCAAAGAAATACTTGAGAATATAGCTCCTTCTTATATTTTACTTAATTTTGGAAAACCACTGCATTGTATTTTTTTTTTATTATTATTTTTTTAAGATTGTTTGGATGACTGGGAAACATTCAGGTGTTCAGAGGACTTTTACTTCTTTTGGACCATTCATTACTTCTTTTTGATTAGGAGGGCAACGGGAATGTAACTTTCACCAGTCCTTCCTTTTTCAACATAATATAACCTGTAAAACTCTTTCTTCCCAGTGCAGCAGTCTATAATCTGTATGTCCTAATAACTACTGGCTGCAGAGAAACCATATCAATCTAACAGTTTATGCGATATTCCTAGCTTTACAGACACCATGAAATTGCATATCATTAAGCCAAACAACAATCCTATTAAGAGTGCACTTACATTAAGTTTACTTCCGCCCCATTTTTTGTCATTTTCAGGAGTTCATTATGTCACGAAAGCTAAAACAGCCTGATGCATTCAAACTGGTAAAATAGCAGCTGTAAAAGTATATTGTTACTTTCTGTAAGTACTACAGGATGGTAAATGCTACGGAGGAACTGAGACAGCAAGACAATACTGGCACAAGAACAGACGGCTATTAACTACCAGTGGAACTGTGAAGTTTTGTCACCATCTGAGAATGAAGTTCTTGTAAAGCTTGAAGTAACTGTGAGGTCAAAACTTCAACAGTGTAAGACATAACTGTAAGTTCATTAGATACTTTTGGTATTGTATGTATTTGTGTTTTTCATAAAAAATGTGGGTATCCCAAGTCCAATGTTCTCAATAGTAGTCCTACTGTGCTCCAATAATGAGTTGTACCAGCTTCTTGCAGCTACTACTCTTCACTGTCTCTATCAGCATAGAATCAGACCATAAAGATATAATTTTACATCTCAGCATATTTCCCTTTACAGTCTATAAAAGCTGCTATTACTTTTCAGTTAAAAGCAGCCTGTCAGTTTTTTACTGAAGATCTTCAGTCTTGTATCCTAGATATGTCTGGACACATATGTACAGATTGATGAGTTTTAATTATGCTGAAATTTCCCTCTCTCCAGATTTTACTTTTATTAGAACCACTGTCTGTAGGATCCTGTTGTTTGTGTCAGCTTTGGTCATGTGGATTGAATTGAATTATCCCACTGGCACAGATGGAAACTATTCACAAAAACATGTAGTTTTCATGGACATGGTGAAGATAGTATCACCATTTTCGTATGCTGGTACTATCTTAACTGTCTCACATTACACAGTTTCCTATCCCATACCAATCCAAAGAGATTGTGTGGGTGTGCCAGTTTTGAACTAATGTTATTTACACATGCTTAACAGAATTCGATGTGCTTGCTAATTTCCTGAACATCCCAGTTTCATTATGTTTGCTTCCCAACTCCATTGAAAGCTCATAGCTACTTATTCTACTCATAAAGTTAATCACTAATTTAGAAATGGTTCTGAATCTAAGGAAGCACTAACTCAGTGACAAGACTCCTATTAATTTCAGTGGGGCCAGAGTTTCAGAGATTGAATGCTGCCTCTCATTTCTATATCCCCATACACAACAGAGCTCTCACTGAGCAGAAGGTTATCTCCAACAGCACTGAGAACTGAATCTCTTTGACAGCGTACTTTTAAATCTCCCATACCTCTGCTTTTGGAATTGCTTTCAGACCAATGTTGATAGACACTGCATTAAGACTAGACTCCATTTTCTTTGCACCATGGTTGAGAACCTTTGTAAAAATATTTCATTATGGCCTAGCAAAGAGCTGTGTAACATAGTGACAGAAGTACAAAGGATAACTAAATACATTCAAACATGCATATGTAGATTGACCGGTCACTTTATTCACATAGTGAATACGTAACTGAAAGGAAGTCTGTCACAGATTCAGAAGATAGGGGACCCAAGAGCTTGTGCTCAACACATCCCATAGATCTAAGGTCATATTAATGCTCTGGAAATTAAACCAACTGTATCAATGCTAATATATTATATCCCTGATTAAGGTAACTTAAATAGCATTGGTATAGCCATCTGCTTGGTAGACTCCTAGGGCTCAAGATTTGAGACTGTCTGTGAAAGTAAGAACTGGCATAATGGACCACACCAATGCCTTTTTAGGTCAGCACTGTCTCTCCAGTGGGAGATAACTGAGACAAGAATGAAAGAAAATAAAAACCCAGAGGGTTCACTATACCTTCTCAGAGTCCAGCAATCTGCAATTCAGTGCTTTACTGAGGTAAAGGTAGTTTTGTACATTTTTGATAGTCCTATAATGGATTTCACAAATTTGCTGGGTTTTCTTTTAGAAACCAAGTGGTTTACCAATACTCTGAACACATTTCCAAAGCCTGATGAGGTGCAATGTGGAAGTCTTCCAAGAAGACCCCATCTGCTGGTTTCATTTGGTTCTCACTAGTTGTTGTTCAGAATGCACCACTCCACATTCACCTACACCATGCGCCCATGATTTTAGAGACCTCTAGCACCATCCTATAATGGGATTAGTGTTTGTGAATAAGGGAAGGACAACTGATGTCACCTACCTGGATTTCTGCAAAGCATTTGACCCTGTCCTGCACGACACCCTATTATTGGAGAGACGTCGATTTGATGGATGGACCACTCAGTGGAAAAGGAATTAGCTGGATGGTTGCATTCAAAGAGTTGCAGGCAATGGCTCAATGTCCATGTGGAGAGCAGTGACGAGTGGTGTTCCTCAGGGGTCAGTATTGGGACTGGTGCTGTTTAACATTTTTGTCAGCAACATGGACAAAGGGATTGAGTGCACCCTGAGCAACTTTGCCGATGACACCAAGCTGTGTGGTGCAGTTGACATGCTGAAGGGAAGGAATGCCATCCAGAGGGACCTGGACATACTTGAAAGGTGGGCCCGTGCAAACCTCGTGAAGCTCAACAAGGTCAAGTGTGAAGTCCTCTACATGGGTTGGGGCAATCCCAAGCAAAAGCACAGACTCAGAGATGTGTGGATTGAGAGCAGCCCTGTGGAGAAGGATTTAGGGGTGCTCAAGAAGCTCAACATGACCCAGCAATGTGCACTTGCAGCCCAGAAAGCCAACCGTACCCTGGGCTGCATCAAGAAAAGTGTGGCCAGCACGTTGAAGGAGGTGATTCTCCCCCTCTGCTCCACTCTTGTGACACCCCACCTGGAGTAGTGTTCAGCTCTGGGGCCCCCAACATAAGAAGGATATGGACCTGTTGGAGCAAGTCCAGAGGAGGCCACGAAGATGATCAGAGGGCTGAAGCACCTCTCTTGTGAAGACAGGCTGAGAGAGTTGTGGTTGTTCAGTCTGGAGAAGAGAAGGGTCTAGGGAAACCTTATGGAAGCCTTCCAGTGCCCAAAGTGGGCCTACAAGAAAGCTGGAGAAGGACTTTTCACAGCGGCCTATAGTCGTAGGACAAAGAGAAATGACCTTAAACTGAAAGAAGGTAGATTTAGATTAGATATAAGGAAGTTCTCTACTGTGAGGGTGGTGTGGCACTGGCACAGGTTGCCCAGAGAAGCTGTGGCTGCCCCCTCCCTGGAAGGGTTCAAGGCCAGGTTGGACGGGGCTTGGAGCAACCTGGTCTGGTGGAAGGTGTCCCTGCCCATGGCAGGGGGCTTGGAACTAGATGATCTTTAAGGTCCCTTCCAACGCAAACCATTCTATGATTCCTTTTCCAGGCTGATGAGTCTCTGTCTAAATAGCTACTTCTCATATGGAAATCTCGCAGTATCCTTGGTTTGCATCTCTATTGTTTTTCTATTTCTGTTCTTATTTTTCAGATGAAGAAGTGAGGATTGCACACTGAAGATTTCAGAACAGCATCAGTTTATACAACCATATAGCAGTGCCTGTGCTTCTGAGTTGTGTGTTGCATAACAAAGCTGCGCAGCATTATTTTAATTCAAAACAGATGTGCCCCTTCTTTCTCATTGTACATCTCCTTATACTTACGAATTCCATTATTTTATTACAAATTTTACCAGTTTTTCCTGGGGAAGACATCAAGTTTTCTCTCTCTCACTTCCCTCTGGTATCACATTTGTTATACTCTAGCCTTCTAGCACCAAAGCTATTTCATATAAGGGCTAGCTTACTATAGTTAATAGTACAGTTGCCCTCAAGTAATTTTGGATGTTTTGGTAAATACTGTCTGGCTGTGCCTGTTTGCTAATCCTCATTTTGTTGGATCTGTTTTGGGTGGGGTTTTTTTTTTTGTTTGTTTGGGGGTTTTTGTTTGTTTGTTTGTTTGTTTGTTTTGGTTTGGGTTTTGTTTGGTTGTTTTTTGTTGTTGTTGTTGTTTGTTTTTGCTTCAGACACTACAGTTTGAGCCACCAGTATTCAGAGGACACTGGTTCTCTGATGCACCTCCCTACAAAGTAAAATCCTTCAGAGGTGCCTCCTGAGTACTCCTCAGGGTGAGCAGATACAAAAATTTAACTTGGTCCTTGGCTTTTCAAAGCACTGTTTCCACCAGGGTTTGGCTGTCCCGTGGCTCCCCCGGCGCTACGCTCGGCTGGACCGAGCACACCTATTCCTAAAAAGGTCTTCGCCACGCCACAACGGCTCCGCTGCCCTGACTCCTCCAGCCACGCCGCCCCTCACGTCTCCCGCCAGGCCCGGCCCGCCGCTCCCCCTCAGCCCTCGGCACGGCCCGCCCCGCAACGCGCAGGCGCGGCGCGTGCCGAGCGCAGCACGTCCCGTGCAGCGGCGGGTTTGAACGGTGGCGGGTCTCGGAGCCGCTCGGCCCTGTGTCGCTCATGGAGCGCGTCCTGCAAGGTACCGGCTCGGTGGCCGAAACGCGCTTCTCCCGGTGCGGCTGAGGGGCAGCGCGGCCCCGTTTCCGCGCTGCTCCGTTTCCGCGCTGCTCCGGCGCTCCGTCTCTTTGCGGCCGTCCCTCCGGTGCTTCCTGGCTGGCCTGGCGGCAGGGAGCGGGCGCGGGCCGGTCTTCAGCTCGACCTGGCGTCGTGGCTCCCCCCCGCGAGTGGGAAGCCCTCCCGTGGGCGGGGGGCGGGGGGGGGGGGGAGCTGCTCTGACCCATCGCTCGAAGCCGGCGGCGGAGCCTGGCAGCCGGGGGCCCCGGTGCTCTGCGGCCGTGGCCGGCGGCGGGGCCGGCCCGGGCGTGCGGCCGCTGGGGCGGGCAGGGCTGGGAGGCTCCCTCGGGCCGGAGGGGGAGCGGGCGCCCCTTGGGGCAGCTGCTGGTACAGCACCGGCCGCCACGCACCGGTGCCTGCGTGGCTCTTCCTGTCCTCGTCAGCCGTGGCTTGAGCTTGTCTGGTTTCTTCTGCATCTTGCTGAACTTCTGCCTCCCTAGGTCGGGCTCTGATGTCTGTTTTTCCCCGCTGTCGCCGCCTTCTCAGAGACCTTCTACCTTAAGTTGCCCTTTACAAGAACCAAGCTCTACTCAGCTCTTCTCATTCAAAAGAACCTCCGAACTCTCCCTAATTTTCCTTTCCATCAGCTGTACAAAAACAACAATGTGCCTTGTCTTTTGTTGGAATATATTTGATTAGCTAAAATTGTATAATTATTGTAAAATACACCTTTGATCCTACTGCAACTAAATGTAGCTTTGAGGTAATGTTCCTCTAAATTCCTATTTTGACCTTCACCGGAATGCTCCAGCCTGTTTTTCTAGGATGATTATAACTATGAAGGTTCCAAATTATTTTATGTAAGAGGAAGGTATGGTTTTTTTTAAGTGCAATGTTTTTCACAATAGAGCAATCAAGAAAAAAGGTACCTCTGACAAAAGCTGTCCTGGTACAGTAGTAGAATTAACACAATTAAAAGTGCATTGGAGCATACCCGTCTTAATTTCCCATGTATATCTGAAGTCATAGTACTGATAATAGGATTTTTCCATGTGGTTTGACTAAGGAGATGTTTTATGTTCCATATTTCTCTTATACGTTAAACGTATCTCAAGCAATCATAAAAATATGTTAGTCTTTATAAAATACTGATGTTGTTGGAGTGTTATTCAGGTTTTCATTTAGAAAGAACACATGACACTACATAATGAACATGCATATTAATTAGGATAATTAAGCAATGTTTGCCAAGGATGGCAAACATTTAAATCGACGCTTTAAATTTTGTGGGTTCTGAGAGTTGTCAGGCCTGCAGTTTGTGTAAAGTTGGTTTTGGTGAACCAGCATTCCTCCAGTTTTCTGGAACTTTACTGATTCACCATTCAAAATGGGAAACTGGCATGGCCAGTGGAGCTGTAGGTCACTTTAGTGCCCACCCTAAGTAAAATTAATGAGGGGGTTGTTAGGAGTTTGATTTGCTTATCCTTCCATGTCAATACATCTGTGTTTGCTTGCTTAAAGACTTTATCAACCAAGGCTGATTTCACTCCTTGAAGAGTTTAATAAACTTGTTGATGAAGGAGGCTACTTGAATGCACTATACCTAAAGTTATGTAAAGCAACCGACATAAAATTGTATTAGGACTTGTGATATGTACTTGATTTGGGGTGATTCAGTATAAATAAGGTGGAATTTAAAGTCAATTGGAAATTGTTCAGTAATATTTCTGCAGAGTTTTATGGTGGTTTGGGGAAGGACTAATTCCATTATGTTTATTTTGTTATGTTCTGTAACTTGTGTTACATCAGCTTGTCTTAAAATTTATGATTAACCTGAAGATGAGTAGTGATTAAATAATAAGGGTAAACAGTCATGTAAAGATATTTCATTGGTTGTTAAGGTGGTAGTGTGTTTTAAACAGACCGAGTGAAAAGTTGTGTAACTAATGTCAAATTTCTAAGTTTATTCCATTGCAACTAATTTAAGGGACAGAAATACTCTAAAAAGAACACTTGGCTTCTAACATCTGGTACTGGGTTTATTAAAAAATGTATTTGCTACTAAATGCAATATGTATAAAAGCAAAATTTTCTTGGAAAGACAATTTAACCAGTTTTACCATAGTATATATGCTTCATCAGCTTTTTGTTGTTTTTTCTGATCCAGGTATTTTCGCATTTGTAGATGTTTGGTCATCTAACAGAACAGAAAATTACTCGAAGATCTTTGAACAGCAACTTCTTGGTATGGGAGCAAAAGTAAGGAAACTATTTTGAGATAAATGAAATAGGGCTCTTAATTATAAACCAATTTGCTTGTTGTGCTTGTTATGTATATTTCTTTGTAGTATGAGTTTTTAAAGTGAAGGAAGGAAGAGAATCACAGACCTGAGAAGAGGCGAATGTGCTGTAAAATTCTTACTAGTGACAGATGGGAAATGCATTTAAAGTCTTCCTGTGTCTGTAAACCTCTTTGTATATTAATATGGTAGCATGCATTTCTTGTGAAGTATTGGGTTTGCCACATACTGTGGGCAAATCAAATCTTAAGTGTTGAAAACCTGTGGTTTACAAGCACATACCTTGTATTGCTTTGTTTTCTTTAACTTCTAGGCAGCTGGTCTATTGTTACTACATTATTTTCTAACTCAAGTACCATGACATTTTATTCTTCCATTCACTCACCTACAAATGTGATTCGACTCCAGAAAGTGCTAGTAAAAATGCATCTAAGAGTCTTTCTATATGTCTCATTGATTTTTTTCTGTATCTAGTTGACTTGTAGGTGCAAAATATGTTTAATTGCCAGCTGTAAAATTTGAGGGACCAAGTCAAACTGGCATTTTCCCTTCTTGCACATGATAACTAGTTCATGGAGATTTTCGCAGCCCACATCATGCTCTAAATAACACTTGTGTGAATTCCCCATGCTTTACAAGTGGGTATGTGTATGTGTAATTTAGGATACTTTGTAAATAAATAAACACTGTAATTTAGGAAATTTTGCTAATCTCCCCAAAGCCTCCTTTTGTGTATGAATTTAGCTGAGGTAGCATGACAGAACAGTAGAATAACTGGTTTTATTATAAAAGCAAATGCAACTCAATAAATAACTTGAATAAGAAATATTTCTTGTCCTTTTGTGCTGTATTATCAGATCTAAAGAATTCTGGTGGTGTTAGTTTTTTCTCACAGAAAATATGACAAAAGATACGACTTCAAAATTCTTCAAGTTGATCAAAAAGTAGCTGGATATGGTGAAAGGTATAGACAGATGAGCCTATTTAGCAGATCCCTATGATACCTTCTTCCCTGTTATTGGGCTGAGTACATGACAGTAAGCTGACTTTGTTCACTATGCCAGGAAAGAAAATTCTACATTAGTTTTTCACTAGATTATTGATTCGGACATCTCTGAGCAGCAGAAGACATCCAGAGTAGGGGAGGAGACAGAAGAGGTGAGAGGGAAATGTAAGGTGGTACTCCTCCATAATTTGGAAGCAAAGCTATATCAAGCATCTGTCTCCTTAGGACACGGACTGTGAGCCAGATAGTAGCATAAATGAGTAAGCAATTGTGTCTGGAGTCATAACTTACTCTGAAAGAGATTCATTGGTCCTGTATACCTAGATACTTAAGTATCATGGGTTTTTTGTCTTCCAAGAAGCAATAAATTGGCTTGCCACCAGAAATTTTTGGAAAAGCTGAATAGTTTTCTTAAAGCCAAGTATACATCTAGCATGTTAGGAGCCAAGTATAGTGACGCAATTGAGACCGCAAGAGAAAGCTACACAGCTATTTCCATTTGGCTGTGCTGAGAAGATGCTGCTGTAAAATATGGATTGTACTGATCTTGCCATGTCAACGATCACAACTGATCAAACAGTTTTGTGTGTAGGATGCTTAGCCTCCACAAAGGGTAACTTGGTTGTGAAGGATGGAGTATCTAGAACTGAAAAGGTTATTGTTTAGTTGTCAATAGAGGCTGATAACTGAAGATTTGATCTGTTGTATGACACAGTGAAAATGTCAGCTATGATATCAGCTGTACTGACATAAGTTTTCTATATTTCTCACTTCTTGAAGTGCTCACATACAAATTTTTTGTTGGTAGTAGCTTCAGCCTTCCCTCAAAACTAAAAGTGATCTTTATGGATGAGCATTAATTTAAAGGATGAGGTTAGCAGTATTCTTTAAGCCTGTGAGTTCTTTGCTAAGTAGAAGATGTAATTTGATATTTCTTTGGGTAGTGGCAACTACTTTCTGTACCGTGTTGCATAAGAAATCACGTTGGGCTACGTAAAAATGTAAGATCAGTGATACAGCTAGAGTAGGGAAATGAAAATGGTAACCTAGAGAAAAGAATTTTGAAAACGAAAGGCTACTCTAGCCCTCTAGCATGCATTTCATTGGCTTGACTAACGAGACTTGAGTTTTGTTTGCTTGAAGCTTGTTGCAAAGATGGGAGAGATCAAGAGTCTGACATAATGTTTAGAACAAATTCTACGCTAATGTTTTATACATTCAAAATGGACTACACTAGCTAGTTTCACTAGTCTTTTCTGATTATCAGACTTTAAGATGAGTTCTCTCTGTATTTCTGCAGGTTTCAAAAACTTTGAACAAGCACGTGACACATGTAGTCTTCAAAGACGGACATTTGACTACATGGAGAAAAGCACAGATGATGGGTGTAAAAATAGTTTCTGTACTCTGGGTGGAAAAGTGAGTACTCATGAATATGATGAATTTGGCCCATTCCAGGGATAATGGATTCTAGTATTGTTTTATTTTAAAACTTAAATACAGTACCTATTTTTAAAATGTACTTGAAATAGTGATAAATCTGAGTAAATGATAATTTTCCTATGACGTTATTTCTGTTATAAAGCATGTTACTTGCATAAACAGGTAAAATGTTAACTCTTGAAAAATGAATGTGTTGTAAGTAGTTACGTAGTATATTTGTTAATTATCCCATGTTCCATAACTTTCCTCTTGGATGGTGTGCATAGAATTCTTCAATTTTCATATGAAAGACCACATTTCATTAGGGACATTGTACTGTTTCTGTACTTAACTTCAATAGACAGAATATCTCCTAACAAGAAAGAAAAAGATCCATACATAGTCTGGATTTTAAGACATTTGGCAAGTTCAGAACAGCATTGCCTGAAGATTCTCAACTACCATACAGAAAAAGTTAAATTTAAAAGTCCATGAGAATTTGCTAGTCCATAGCTGCTTCTCAGAGTTTACAAAGTGGTTGTGAGACCTGACTTAGATTTCAGATGAAGTGTAAAAGCACTTAGTGTTTAAGCAAATGCATGTATTCTACTCAAACACTCCAATTGATAAATTGCTGTGATGATGGAAATTAGGATTTAAGAGGCTCTTTCCTATCTATACCAACTGTAATATGCGTGGAGAGATAGAAGTCTGCTAAGTGCAAAAGTAAAAAGGAAAACAAAAGGGGGGGAGTAACTGAGCTCTGCAGGCACTTAAATATAGGCCAGTACAATTGCAAAACTTGTGATACAAGTCCATTAGTCAAACAGGAAATTAATGCAGTTCTGCAGAAGCGGGAGGATTTTTTCTTTTTTTTTTTTTTCTTCTTTTTTTTTTTTTTTTAAGAATACTAGATACAGAAGTTACAGCTGCACAATGCAGCCAGCTTTAACACCAAGGAAGAAATACCATAAGTTCTCAAAAATTAGAGCGATGTAAAATTTTATTTAATTGAATACATCTTTCTGTGGCCTGGTGCTATCTGATGGCTAAGTGTATAAATACCTGTCATGATTTAAACCCGGCCGGCAGCCAAACACCACACAGCCTCTCTCTCACCCTCCCCCACCCCAGGGAATGTGGGCGAGTATTGAAGGGGTAAAGGTAAGGAGACTCGTAGGTTGAGATAAAAACAATTTGATAATTGAAATAAAATAATAATGATAGTAGTAATAATAATAATAATAGTAATAATAGTAATAATAGAAAATACAAATGAGTAACACACAGTGTGATTGTTCACCACCCACTGACCAATGCTCAGCCTGTTCCCAGATAGTGATGCCAGAGAAGTGAGAATCCTGAAACTGCAATCCCGGAAGTGAGAGCGAGCTTTCCGATCAACCCTCATCTATATACTGAGCATGACATCGTAGGATACGAAATGTTCCATTGGCTCATTTGGGACTGTTGTTCTGCTTGTGCTCCTTGCCAGGTTCTTGTGTACCTGCACACTAGGAAGTGTTTGCTTGGCAGCAACTAAAAACATCAGTGCGTTATCAACATTCTTCTCGTACAAAATCCCATGCTGAATCCAAACCACAGCACTCTTCTAGTTACTAAGAAGAAAAAATTAGCTCTGTCCCAGCCCAAACTAGGACAATACGAAATTTGAAACCTTAGTCACAGGAACTATGAACTATAAACTATTTGAGGACTTAGATGTGCTATAGTAAAAAGGATCCCAGAAAAGTCCAGGTGAGTAGCATCTGCAGTGGAAGAAGAATGAGAGCACCTTACAAGGGAGAGTCTAGGATGTGTCATATAGAAATGTTGTCTCTGTCATAGTAGTTCCACTCCAAGACTCTCTTCTGCAATACCGGAAGGTATTAAGTGGATGAATGCTGTAGAAGGTTCAGATACAGAGACGGCTGGATATGTCATACTGTAGGGGACAGCATGGAGTTTTGAAATTCAGGTGTAAAAGCCTCAAGAAACTTTATCTGCTGGTAGATACCAGCAACAAAGGAAAAGACAGGAGAAAGGATCTGGAGGGAAAACTTAAGCCGGTTGTTAGGAAAGAGAAGGCCAGTTTCTTCCTGGTATTCTTTGAAGTATTCCTAGTGTCATGATCTGGACAAGGCAAGGTTTTATATGGCATAGAAGATGAGGTTCGTTGGAACTGGAGAAATCATCTGAAATAGATGTATTTTATTGTGGAGCTGGGGGCGAGGGAAGATGACACACACCCAAGCTGTGAATTATAGTTGAACTTCTATGTAATCTTTTTCTTCTGCCTCTTAGTTTAAAACTAATGCCACAAGAAGATACAACTTGGGTTGATGTATACTCTAGCAGAACTCATAGGAATATTATATCCTTGAGCAATGTATATGTCAGGAGCAGCAGAAGCTTACGTAACATCATAATTAATAGTTTCACTAGTTATAGGGTTATTCAAATGAGGCACAGACAATACAAAATTAAATCTAGTCTGTGCTAACATACATCCTAATTTTTTTTCTAATAAGATGAGGGAACTGGAGTGCCTGACTTTAAATTATATGCCTAGTATATACATATCTCAGAAGTTTGGTCGGCAGAAGACAGTCTGCTGAATTCAGACAATGTAAACGGGAAGGACTGAATAGTCTGTGCCAGTAAAATAGTGGTCCTGTATGAGTGGAAGCTTAGTTTGAACCTGATAACTGTGTAAGCAAATAATGCAGAGTTCATAGGAGTTGAAGTTTTAGCATCACTAGAAAAGAGTGGCTTGACTCATCAGCTGCTCCATTCAGTAGCAAATGGAACATTCTCAGAATGGTCAGAAATGATTTGAAATATCATTTCCAGAAATATAATAGTCAAGGGAAACTTTCTAGTGTAGCTTGGGGATTGAGTGATTCCTGTTGGATTGCAGTGTGAGGACAATATTTTAGGTATTGCTTGGTCTTAATTGGTTTGTGGATGGTTGTTCAACTGTGTTAAAGAACTTCTTGTAAGTGTGGCCACAGTCTAAAATCAGTGTTTGTACCAGAACATCAAAACCCAAGAAGTTCTCTGACAATGCTCAACTTTTGAAAGAAGTCTACTTAAAATAAAGAAATTCTGTTACGAAGAAGTTAAGACAGTGAAGGGAATAAAATTCTTGCTGGTATCAAGGAGTATATCTAAAGCATAAGTCCTCTGAAGTGTATCACAAAGATGATGATCATCACATGGTATGAGGGGAAAATGAAGATTTTTGTGACTTAATGTTTTCATGGCATTATTGCCTCAGCAGTAGTGAAAAATCAAATTAAATAGAACATAAAACCTCATGTAATGGGATGACAGCATTCTACAAGGGAATGTTGTGAGAGGATGGCAGTGAGCATGACTGAAGTTTATAAAATATTTTTCTCACAAGATGTGATTGAAGAGGCAAGAATTCTTCAGCTTGGAAGAGCAATGGGAGTAATGGGGGAGAGATTCCTGAGAACATAAAGGTTCATATGGAGAGGCTTAATAGGGAACGTATGTATATTTTCCTTTCCAGGAGAAGAATTGGAAAGCATCACGTGAATCTGTATGGAGGCAGATTCAGTGAAAACAGTAAATAATGTTTTTTAGCAAAACATGGTTAGGCTGTAGAACTTCTTGGTGCAGAATCATAGGCAGCAAAGATTTACATGGCTTTAAAAAAATGCTGAAGCAATTAAATGTTTAGTTTTATCAAAAATCAGATACAGTATTGCAACTGACTATCTCTAAACCAGAAATCTGTGGAACGTAGCAAAGTAAACTGCAAGTGTTTGTCTGTTTTTATGTTTTTACATGCTCTTGGGAATCTTGATATTGGAAACAGGATGCTGCAGTATATGGTATGTAGTTTGGAAACTCCTTTTTGATGTTTGAGCTCTGAAAACACCAGACAAGGAAGCAAATCATAAACAGTTACTCCAGCATTTCCTGATTCTTCTTTGTGCCTAATATTCTCCCACTTAAAAGCTAGTGGATGGCTACTTCCAAACTGTTATGCATGTACCCTAAGCAGTGCTTGAGCCTTTCAGAGAAACATTACCTATGATTTGAAAAATACTATCATACTTTTCTCCATAAAAAACAGCACAAATTATTAAAGTATAAGGGTTTGTGCAGTATGTAGTAAACATTGTCTTGTTGAACTCTTACTGGATTTCCAATGATCTGCCTCAAACTTGTATTGGAAGCTCCTGCCTTATATTATGAGCATCTGTTTGAATCTAAACTGAACGCAGTTCTACAGTTTATTAGGAAGTAATTTGATTGGGAAGATGACTATTTAAAATAAGATGACAATTGAAATTCCAGAAAATTCATAACTCCAGAGTAAATGTATTTTTAATTTTTAAAAAAGTGTTTTGTTTCCATTTTTTATTTTTGAAGAATGGTAGAAGTGTCTAACAATAATGCACAAAATCATGGACTTGCTATAAGATTTGTGCAAATAAATTGTAAGTTTAATGCAAAATGAGTGACAGCTTTGGGATAACTGAAAAAAGGTTTTTTTAGTGCTGCTTTTACCTCAAATACCTCAATGAGCAACCTAAAAAAAAGCTAAACCCAACAACAAAAAGAACCCTACATAAGACAGAATTGCTATAATCTATGTCCAAAATGAAGCACACTTAATGCTTCTGAATCAAACTCATAGCTGGAAAACACTGTCTTGTCTTTTCTTAGTATGGTAACTCACGTCACAAATACGATAGATAAATCATTTACATTCAGATTTGTCTGCAAAGTAAAAAATTCTTACAAGATATTTAATGGTCAAATTTTCTTCTGTTTAGCTTCTCTGAATCAATGGAATCTCTGAATTTCATGTAATTTTTATGTGAGCTTTTATATAGTCTGCATCTATGGCGATTATTATCCAGAATATAATAATAATAGCCACGGAAGTACAGCATGGTGAATAGCATATCTATTTGATGCCAGCAAACTCTAAACTCAGTTAGTTTGACAAATACATGTAATGGTTTGGATCTTTTCTTTATTCAAAACTGAGTAACTAAGCGATAGATTATAATGCTACAGATAGAAACTTTGTAGCACTTAGATCACTAGGTGTCACCAGAATCACAGTTTTGAAAGACTTCTGGAGGAATTCTAATGTAGTCTGCTAAGGTTCCATGTTCTTTCCTATAACTGGTTTTATTATTTATTGTTTGAGGATAAAACTATTCAGCTATTTTGATCAGAACTTTAATTTATGTTTTGATAACCAAATTATTGTCTCAACATCATTCTTAATGTTCACAAATACAGTAGACTGAATCATATTCCGAGATAATATTAGTCCCACTGTTCTCAAGTCAGTCTTTGCATATGAAGTGTCAAGAAATTCTGCAGGTAAGGTATCAGTTGGATTTTTGGTTTTGTAATTTAAAAAAAAAAATCACATAAATATAGATTGCTCCTCAATAAGGTGTTGTTTTTAGCATTGCATATACAAAGAGAAGGCAGAAAACTGAGACTAATGGGCAAGATGTAAAAGCCAGGACCAGATGAAGCCTCCTTCCTCATTTGTCTGAACAGAAAAATTTCCTACTCTTTCCTACCCCCGGTATGACATTCTGTAGATTGTAGTTGGGAGTCTGCTGTCATCACAGTGACCAAGTTAAGGTTAAGTTCACTAGCTAGTGAATAATGAAAGCCTACAGTCCTCACAAAAGACAGGGCAAAATTTAAGGTTCGTGAGAATCTGGCCAAGAGGACTTAATACAGTGATTTTTTTGAATGGGCGGAAAATAACATGTGAATGGGAAACTTCGAGTTTCAAACCAACAATTTAGAGAGCCTCATTAGGACAAAAAAAAAAAGTATCATATTCTGTATTTGGTGTGTAATAGATTTATTTTTTTCTTTTTTTTTTTTTTTTTGTAGCATTACAGTAGTTATGCTAAAGATATACACTTAAGATTGGTTAGTGTTTTGTTATTATAGGACTCAGATGACTCTTTTTGCAATAAAGGTTCTCATTCTTAAAAAAACAAAACAAAACAAAACAAAACAAACCTGCTCTAATTTATTATACAGGTGTCAAGAAACTGGAATACATGTTGAGGAATCCTTATTTCCTGCAGTAGACACTAATGAAGGATTGCCACTAATGAACAAAAAAGTAAGTATGTGATTTTTATTTTATTTTTTTTAAATAGGCCTAGACTAGTAAACTTTAAAGTTTGAACTTGACTTCCTGACTTCAGGCATTTAAACTGTCTGTTTTCAGAACTTTCTGTATACTCTACCTATTTACTTGAGTAGGTTTTTTAAGGTAGGCTATGGCTGTCATGATGTGACATCTTATCTGAAGAAAGGATAATAGAGTTTTCATATTGGTGAATAAAGAAATGAAGACTTAAAATGGCATAATGATTAACTAATCAAAAAAACCACGCCTACACCCCCACCCCCCCCCACTCCCCCGACACACAGATACACAGACACACACACCACACACACACACACACCCCCAACCACAAGGGCTGGGGCTTTTAACATTTCAGCCACCAGCTCTTTTGTGCACTTTCTTTCCTGTTTCTGGTGGCACACCATGGTTGCTGTCAGATACACACCCTGGCCTGGTGCAGACCAGCACCCCTCTCCCTCCCTGGCACGAAGAGGGAGACAGGACCCCTGGTCAACAGACAAGGCCCTCAGCCAACAAAATGCCTTGGTCAAGAGAAGAAGTTTCTAGAGCACTGACCTTATATGACCACGGTTCAGATCTGACCAGGCTATAAAATGGGGCTGCCAGAAATCCCTCTTTGGACCATCAGGTCTGTGATCGGATGCTTTCCCCTTGGGACTGAGACACCACCCAAAGAAACTTTCTGGGACTGAGTGCCTCACTTTCCCCTCTTCATGACTGAATACTTCTGGATATCCTTGAGTGAGCCCTCACTCCCTTTTGGTAAGCGATTACATCCTCTGGGTACCCTTGAACGAGAGGCTTCCCCTTCACTGGGTGAGTGTGTGCACACTTTGGAATCATCATTCTTATGTGTCATCACCCTTATGTGGTGTTGCATAGTAATAACTTCCCGAATTGGTACACTGAACCTATAGTTTGTTAAATGTTATTGGACCATTGTTTTGATTACCTGTGTTGTCTCGTTGGTTTTGGCTGTTTGGATGTGGTTACAATTTAAAGTTTATTCAAGTTTATTATCTATGTGAAGCCACTTTGGTATGCCTCCATACTTTGCTATAAGCAAAAAAAAAAAAAAAAATAAAAAAAATGGTTACTTACTACCATTTTTACTAAAAACTAACCTAAAAAAATCTGTTAGGTTCTTTCTTATTTCATATTAATGTTTTCTTTGGAAAATGTTAACTTCTGTAATTATCTGTGACTCTCGAGGTGATAATAAGTAGCATAAACACTGATAATACTGTGATAAAGTAGGCAAATAGGAAGTACAGTTACTTCTGGCAGTTTTATACCATATAATTGATAGTTCTGTGTGTCTTATAGCACAAATGTATGCAGCCAAAAGACTTTGTTGAAAAAACTCCAGAAAATGATAAAAAGCTGCGGAGGAGACTGGACAAGATGGCTGATGAATTAGCTGTACAAAAGATAGCAATTAATGCTGGTAAGAACTACTTTGGACTAAGATTCAAATATCTTAAGTTATTTCTTTAAAGCTCTTGATGGTCTTTGGGCTTTGGTTTGGTTTGTTTTTTTTTTCACTTTTATGCATCTCACCATGAGAAATAAAGTTGACTTTTTACAGAGTTCTTTGCACATTTGTGGTGTTAAGGCATCTGTAGTGATACTAGGTACAAGGAACCTAATTTTTTCAAGTTTTTTTTTTTTAAAAAAAAAGGGGGGGGGGAAAGATACTTTATCTGAAGCTGTAATAGCATGTAAAAATTAATGTACAAATGCAATTTCTTTGTAGAAACTGATGTACCAGTGTTATTGTTTGAAGACAGTGGTTCACTTGTGTACAGCCCTGTTAATAAGATAAAAGATCATTGCAGTGCAATGGAAAGAAGAATAAAGGAGATGAAGGAAAAAAGAGAAAATCTTTCTCCTACTGGTAAGAATTTAAATTTTACTTATCCATGAACATGCGGAAGTGGCTGCCATCTTTATTGCTGAATTTTTGGTGCACTTATCTGGCTCTGGCCTTTAGAATTTTTTTCATGTCTTGACTGCATGTCCTCCCTTCTTCCTAGGTTTCAAGTAGGCATGAATACTTTAGATTTTAGTTTCTTTCTATTGAAGGGCACGAGAAGTCATAGAAGACAATGATTGCAAAATTAATCTCTTAATTACCAGGCTGCTCAAGAGGACTAATGTTTAAGCTAGACTTTATAAAGTTGGAAATAGATATTATCGCAACTTGGTTAAATTTTATGATGAGACTCTATATCTTTTTCCTGTCAAATTTTAATGTGAATGCTGTACTTGACAAAGTTTGTAATGTTATTACTCCCAGACTAACAGTTTAAAAAGGAGTCCAAAATCGATCTGTCCAGGTACTGAAGAACAGGATTTTAAAAAATAAATTCATTTGAATGACCTAATTGAATAAATCTAGTTGACCTCAAAATGCAGATCCTGGTGAATTAAATCTAGGTTGCAGTTTTCAAATAATTTTCTAGTATTTGCAATACCTTACTGTGAAGGTATTGAGCTTTAAGTCATTAGGTTTTGTCAGCTATTATAAAAACTGTTGAAAAGAGGTACATCTTTTGGGGGAATCTGCAGTATTTGAAGTTTTAAGAATTCTCTGTCAATTAGTCAGTTTATAATTTCAAAAATAATTGTGGGAGGAAAGTAAAGAACCAGTGACACATTGATGAAAAATTAAATCTCATTTATGTATTTGTTTTTTCTTTGAGTTTTAAGGTAATACCTTCAAACATTTTGAAAAGCATTTCTGCTCTATCAAGCCTTTGTTGCTAATTGCAGAATTTGACAGATTCTGTAGCAAAATGCCTCAACTGGCTTAGACATGTCTATAATATCTTCTAAATGGTTTGCCATCATTCTTTAGTTTTAGAAAAATGTGCTGAGTTATCTAGAAAAAAATTGCTTAAAACTGTACAATATCTAGTAGCTTTTTTGTTAGTATATAAATTTGAGATACTTTTGATCAGTCTATTTATATGGTTATAGTTAGTTGGCAAAGCAATTACTTGTTTCTTACTATTGAGCTGTTTTGAAATATGAATAGACGGTGTGGAAATCTGTATGTTTGCAAACAGGGCTAACAAGTTTATTATTTATAAATTCATAGCTTCGCAGATGTCTCAAATACCTCCAGGTTGTTCACCAGGAGACTGCCCGCTGCCTACCAGTGTCTTAACTAATTCAAAATGTGCATTGTTACCAGGTAACTAACACAACTTTATGTATTACAGAAATTAAAAATAATACATGACCTGTATATCTTATTTTGGAAAGTATTGTATATTGAAATGGGAACTATATACATTTGCTCTATCATTTATATTTAAAGCTGAATTATTTTAGTTTATCCTAACTGACAAAGTATGTAAAAGTAAGAATTCAAGGAAAATAGAGCATGAGGAATTGCATTGGGTAAATGCTCTGCCTTACTGCTGTATTGCTTGCCTCAGTTCCTCCTCTTTCCTCACACCATTCCCCATTAATGGCTTCTTGTCCTGGCATGGTGTCAGTCTTCTCTGCTCTTACAGTGATCTTGCATAGAATATGGAGTGCACACTAAACTGTGATGTGGAAAGCAAAAAAGAGAACTGAGAGATACATGAGAATGTTGGTTAATAGTGGTTTAAGAAGTTCTGAGAATCCAGTGTAATTTGGTGATTGAAGTTAAGACTTTTTCAGTTGTTAATATGGGACTCTGATCATGTCATGTGAAACTTCTCCTTTCATCTCCTTATATTTAATTTTTCTAAATTTAGTTAGCTACACCACATGTTTAAAAATATTAGTTATAGTTAGTGAGTAAATAACATCAAGACTTCCTCTAAAACCTACAGGAACACTTACAGAAGGAATATGGCTGAAACTCTGCACTCTGTGTTTTCAAACAAAAGCATCTCTTGCAATAATCAGATTGTAGAAAAAATGGATTTTTAAAAATGTATTCTGAATAATCAAAGATACTAGCCTATTTCAGAGGAATTTATTGTGAAGTTATGAATAAATTCTATCACCTCCTGCAAAATCATTTCATAAGAATAGCTACACCAAATGATCTATTTTTCCACATTCTAATTACTTTTAATACATTGTGTTGATGTATGTAGTAAGATACTATGATGTTGCATTTAATTTCGTCTTAACTGCAAAAAATACAAGGTAGTGGTAATGCTGTGGTAGTAAAAATTATCACCAAGTTTCCAGTATTATAGCTAGCTTTATCAGTGTAAAACCTTGCTTTTTTTTTTTTCTCTGCAAGTAAGAGTGAAAGGGAGTTCCTCTGCTGCTTTGTTTCAAGAAAGCAGAACACAACTTATGGATACTTACTACCATGTAAGAAGTTATGATACTTAAAAGCTATCGTAGCTTCTTTCCAACGTAGAATATGGTTTGCTTCTAATCCATTTTCTGTTTAGTATTTGATGACTTGCCATATAATATCCAGAGAAGTGGTTAAATCCTTGTTTTCTTCCTTCAGTAATCTCATATGTATTTTACTGAGAAATTTGGTACTCTTTCTGTTTTGTTAAATACATTTATATTACTACTTTTCATATTTTGCAGGGGAACAAATGGAAGACTGCTTGAATTCAAGTTGTGATTATCTTTGTGGAACTGAAAAATTAAAGAGAAAGAAAACAGATGTAGAAAAACATGCCTGTGATCCTTGGACAGATACTCACATATCCATGAGTGCATCAGTGAATTCTCCCTTGCATAGCTATGAGCAGAAGATCAAACAGCTTACACCAAAACAGCTTAGCAGAAGAAGCTTACAAAGGAAGCGTGTTTTGCAGCACACTTTGGATGATAAATTGTCTATAGAAAAGAAAAATCTAGAAAAGTTTCCACAGAAAAATAAGGAGGATGAAAACAACATGACTACTTCAGTTGCAAGTGAGAGGTCTCTTCTTCACATCAAGGGCTTGAGTGATATTACTCCTTCCAAAAAAATAGTCAAGTTAAATACTTTTTCTGCTTTGATTGGCAATCTCTCTAATTCACCTATGAACAGTGAAGACTTAAATACCCGTTCATTGGATACAAGCTTCCCTTTTGACAGAAACAATGGTATTCTTGAAGACAAGAAGAGGAAGAAATTACAAACACCAGCTAGTTTGAAGCTGGCTACCTCAGAACTTGGTACATCAGGATCTAAAGGGTTCTTGCAAGCAATTATGACATACAGCAAGCCTTTTTGCACTGAAGACACTTCTTATGAAGACTTCTTTTCATCCTCTGACTGTAATGAAAATGAAATACAGGTACAAGTGCCAAAGGAATCACAGAATCCTCCTGAAGTTTGTTGCAAAGACTCTTTTACAAGCATGGACTCACTTGATGTGAGTTTCTCTAAGCCCCATAGTACTTCCAAGAAAAGTAGGCAAAAGTCTATTCCAGCAAATGATGTTTCAGTAAAGAAAAACTTCAAAGCAGCTGAACATCCTGGAAGTGTGCCATTAAATTATATGTCAGATGGTGAAAAAGCTGACGCTGCAGAATCTCTAGATTCTAATGATGTGCATAGGCTGCCTCAACAGGCTCATGAAAAATCCTACAGAACCAGTGTGAATTGCTGCAGTCACACTGCTGGTAAGTCACTACATAGAGCTGGAAAGTGAAAAGATATCACACTGCATTAGATATATTCATCCAACTAAATTGCAAAATGAACTGCTGTGCCAAAGTGAAAAATATTTCAGAATTACACCAAAAGAAGAAAATACTGCAGTACTGACTTTACTTTTGAGTAAAATATATGAGTGCATAGGATCCAAAAGAACACCCATTTGTTTTCCCTTACATTAAAACATGAAGGTATCGAGAGATAAGCAAACTGTGCTCACAATATGCAACAAAAGTGTGTGAGCCTTCTTTTCCCCTAAAGTTTGGTAGTCTAAACTTTCTGGTGCTATTCAAAATCTGTTTAAGAAAGTTCTCTTGTAAATTGTTTGTAAGTAACTCCTCATCATAGAGACCCTTATTCACTTTTTTTTTTATTTCACAAGTTAAAATTTCTACTTTAAATTAATTGCATTTGAGGGTGCAAAATCTAGTGGAAAAAAAATATTTGAGTTAGCAATTTCTAACTTGTCCTATGATGAAGATTGAATAAGACATTTGAGGCCATGTGCAAGAGTTACAATGTGAGCATCTCTTTCAACCATGGCTTTTTTATATGGGACTGATATTAGTTTTTAATAATAATTTTAAGAAGAAAAAAGAAAAATTAGCTCTATGCCAAGAGAAACCAGGACAAAGTATTTTTTATATTTGAGTGTTTTTGTGTTGGTTTAGCATAAGTTATTTCAATGTAAATGTATACTAGGATATTGAATCTCAGGAACTTCCCTGAAAAATGCTCCTAACTTGCATTGGAGTAATCACTTTCAGATTTTGATATTTTGAGCTCTGTTTGTCAAGCCTTACATAGAGTTAAATACTTGCAATTATAATTGTATAACTTTTTAATTTGTTTTCCCTAGTGTATCAATGAATTATATAAAATTAATTATTAACTTAAAGGGCTCAACAAACTCAGTATCAGACTTACAAAATCATCCAGCTGAAATGTTGAATGGTGACTGTATCTGTGGGTAATAAGTTGCTGAACCATGAGCTGCTATTTTGGGTTCACTACATCTGTATTTTAATAACTGGAGTGCATCATTATAACATAGTTTAAAAACCAAACAAAAAAACTTGATGCAAGTGTATGTTATACAAGTATAAATGTACACTCATAAATGTATGAACCCACGCCGTGTTTTTTGCCATGTGGCAACGTACTAGAAGATGATCCTTAAATTACATATTTCTTAATGTCAAGGAACAATCTGTTTTTCATTAAACTATCATGAAAACAAATGGGGAAGGAGGAAAAGTTTACTATTAAACTCAGGTCTGTCTGTTAATTTTAGAGTTAATTCTAACTTTTAAATTCTAGTGATTAAATTATGATCATTGTTTTGGCATGCTAAGTTTTATTTTCTCACTGGACAACTTGTTCAAGATAACAGATTTTGGAGGAGAGGAAAAAGGAACGGTATTCAGCAAACAAATTATAAACATCAGATAACTTTTTATCCTTTTTGTTAGGAATTTCTGTAAGTCTCAATCTGTGTTTCTAGTTTTCAATAGATTACTGGATTTTAATAGTGTCTGTGATTTGTTAGTGATGGCTCTTTTCCCAAGTAGAAAGTAGTGAGCTTTTTGCATCTGTTGCGTAGTCAAGTAGAACCTCAAGTCAGACAGCTCAAACTCACTTAAAAATGGAAGGAATCAATAATGAAAGATGAGTTGTATTTTCTCTAATAATTCAAGTTTTGTAGAAGAAAATTAAAATATTGTTCTAAACTTACTACTGTGACACTGTGTGATGGAATAATTGATTTTTATTAAATACATGTTTAAGATTTCCTTTTTCTTTTTGCTTGAATGTAAGTTATTTCTTGTCCCTGTTAATTAGTAAATAAATAGTAAATTGCTTTATTTTTCTCTGTTGTACGTGATTTGAAAACTGGTAAATACAGTATATTATTTTTAAAAGATAAAGGACTCTTTTCATTCATCATATATATATATTTAGCAGTGATCAAGTATCCATATAAAATTTAATTATATGTGTATATATTTTAAATATCAAACATTTTTCTTGCCTGTTTTTTCCCTTGTGATTTTAGGTCAGTGGCATTCCTGCCCAGTGTATTTAATGACAAAAAATAAGCTCTGATAAGTTTTCTTTCCACAGACTACTTGAAACATTTGATTTTAAAGTACAAGTGTAATATGCAAGCTAATCTGAAACCAACTTTGCAAGTCCAAATGCTTATGTTGTAGCAAACTTCATATTCCCTTGTAGAGTACATTCCAGGATGCCCAGTTGTTCTGCAACAGCACAGGCATAAACACGGCTACTTATTTTATCTTACTCTGAGTCATAATTCAGGTAGAGAACTGTCACAGCTACAAGAGTTAGAATTAATTAGGTGTCATATTAAAACATGTTTTTCTATTCAGATTCACTTTTTCTTTCTCAGCTTTGTTTCTGGAGATGAAATAAATTTTCAGTCCTGATTAAACCAGACATACCTGATAAATCTCAGTGCTTTGTAATCAATAAGTGCTGTGTCACTGGCTTTTGTGTGTTGGTATCTAAGTTTTCAGCAGTTACAAAGTGAGGAAAACAGTGGCTTTTCTCTGTCATGAATATAAATTTATGGAAATGCAATAATACTACCTCCTGTGAAAGTTAATGATCTATGTTACTAGGAAAGTGTGAGAACTTCTTTGCCATTCATGTTGCAAATTGCTTTACTTTGAAATCTAGTCCCACTGCTTATAACTTTTTTAGTAGAGCTGATGGTAGGGTAAATTGGCACTTGAACCACATGGCTTAAAATGCTAGTACTTGCTCAGATTTGATGAATTCCCATGACTTTTATTTGGAAAGCTACAAAATAAATAATACTGGACAAGGAATGCAAGAGTACGGTCTTTTATGCTTTTATCATCCTAAAATCATTTAGAAATTTGAACTGAGACTTAACATTATTTCCAGTCTTAAAAATAAACTTAAGGCCTAGCTGAGTGAATTTTAGATAATTATGGTGAATGTGGGAGGTAAATATTATCTTAGTTGGTCAAAAGTCATAAACTAAGACCCATTATAGTATAATTTGTGTAGTTCAATGTTAAGATGGGGAATCTGGAATATTATGATATTTGGTGCAAAAATGATGAAGTTTAATTTAGGTGAATGATTAATCTAGATGAGTTTTACCTGAGATTCTAGGTGCTAGGTGCTTAATGCTGCTAAAATACTATTTATCTCTTTAAAAACACTCATGTGAAAACTTCCTTAGATTTGATGTGCCTTTTTTTTCTTCCTTCAGTGTTAGAAGACAAGTTGACTAAAAACATTGTAGGAAGTACTCCATTGACATTTTATTATGTCTTTTTAAAAAACAAATGAAGAAAACTATTTCTTGCTTGATTCCTTGTTTTGTTTATCTTCACAAAAAGTTTAATTGTAACTAATTATTAAAACAAAAAAAGGACAAATATTTCTGAATAGGGGAACAGGTTGAGGATTACTATGATGTAGTCAAATTTACAAAACCTGATGACACTTGTCCTAGAGTGTGTAACAACCTAGGTACAATTGTTCTAAACCATTAACAGGTTCTGTTTGAGAACTTGGTGGGCACATAAACTTTCATAAGACTTGAAGAAATTGTGTTCCAAATAGCAATTTGTCCATGCTGGAATGATAACTACAATAATAATGACAACACAAGTTATTCAATGTTCTGTGTGTATGTTCTTGAAAGATTACTAATAATGGCAAATTCAGACTTACTTTCTTCATAGTTGGGGTAAATAGCTCTGGATAAGTACAAAATAATAGATAGGATACAGCTTAATTTCTAGTGATACTTCATTATATTCCTAAAGTAGAGCACTGTACTATAGATAAAATTTTTATTAAATAGGCATAATTGATTTGATTGAAAAAAATAGCTCATTGTGCCTAATCATTACTTTGCTTTTTAACTTGAAGAAAATATCAAATGGAATTTTTAAGATAATATTCTGGTTCAAAACTTCTTACTGGTAATAAATGATCATGAATGAGTAGAAGCTTGAATTACAAATTAAAGTCACTCTAATTTGTTATAATACTTCAGAGGGCTCTCAGAGTTGTTGATTTTGATACCAGTCATTGAGCAATATTTTAGAAGAGATGTTAGGGGATCTAATGGATCACAGTGTCATGAGTTAGCTGTGTATTTGAACTAAATTTAGGGATAACTAACAGTGGATGGAACTGCTTCAGAAAGTTCTGTCGCCTTTATCTGAAATACTCTAGTACAGATGAAAACTCTTAACTTGTGACTGAGCAACTGCTTTAAAAAGAAACAATCAGGGAAAACCAGACAATAGACAGTGAAGCTTGAGACGTACAGGATGGAAAAGCTGGAAAGTGCTAAAGAAGTCCTGATAATCAGAAGTAGGAACTGGACTGCAAAGAATAGTCCTTATTTATGTAATTCATAGATCTCCAAGCTGATAATCAGAGATGATGGACATAATCCCCTGTTTCTGCTTTCCTGTAAATAGGAAGAACCAATGAAACTGAACACTAGCTGGAAAGAGGTCCAAGCATCCCAAGTGGGACAAGAGCTGTGAAGCTTAAGCATTCAGGCCAAGAGTGGCAAAAGCAATATTACACCACTTCTCACTGACCCCCCACCAAACCACTCCTCCAAAAAAACCCAAACCAATGGGTGGTCCTTTTACAGTGACTGAAGTAACTTACTGGAAACTAACAGAGACATACCTAGGTTTACCCCCATGTGCTTGGAGTAAATGATCTGACATCCTTTGCGGTCTGATGGTTGCTGTGTGTTTTTTAAGATTCAAAATACGTGTTTTAAAATTCTGTTTTCCATGTAAAATTATTCAAATTTAAATTTCTAAGCTTTTTTTATTGTGTGGCAAGATCTTTTCTCCTCTACTGCTTGCCATCAGTCTTGCTCATTGGTTCAACATGATGGGACTCAGTGCCATACTAAATAAAATTAACATACTTATTAGTTCTCCCTTTTTTAAATAACACGTATTTAAATACTGAGCTTAAATTAATTATTGCACCTGAAAGCCAGGTTTACTTCTATTATACAAAAATTAATGTAATACTGTGTAAATTCACATGAAACATGAAATTTTAGTGTGAAGAAGTGATTAAATTTTGACTAAAGGTTATAATTTTAAAATAAGTAATCAGTAATCAAAAATGTTTATCACCATTTTTTGTGTTGTAATTTGTTCCTCAGCCATCTCAAGAATTAAGAGTTTAAGTAGCTTACAGAGGAAAAACAAATGAGTCTTAGTGTTACATATGCTGTCAGACTGGTAAATATGGGTAGTACCCTTCAGTATTTTCCAAAAGTAATCAGAAGCTTATTTGGGAGGAGTTGAATTTAGGCCACTTGAATTAGTGATTATTAAACTTTCTTTAACTAGTCTCATGCATTTCTTTGAAATGAAAAATTAACACATATCCTAAAGTATACACCATTGAATTAAATTTGGAAAATATTATCTAATTAAATCTTCAGTAATTACAACATCATTGATCAAAAGATAGATCAACGTTTTTCATCTTAACACAAGCAAGCTAATTTCTCAAATGATTCAAAAGTTTATTATTTAGTGCTTATAAAAGTAATCCTGAAAGGGTTGAAAAATTAACTATATGTTAATTCACAAAGCCTGTGATGAAAAATACTGCTTTTTGGCAGCCACATTAGAGTACATTCTTATGGATAGTGCCTTTTTATAAATAATAGGTCTGATATTCCTGCATCTGCATTCAGACCTTCAGGTCATTGCAGATAAACACAATGTGTACTGAAAACATCGGTATTTCAGTACGAAAGGAAAAATGTAGCCACCATTGCTTCAAACTCTCAAATATGTCTGTATTCAGAGAAATTGAAAATTTTGTAATAAGTAGAAAACAATTTAGCTGATTCTCTACTTGTAGTTAAGATATGGTTTTCAAAATATTGGAAATTAGGAGTTTTACAACTAGTTTATTTACAAGATCACATATTGAAAGATGAAGCCAAATACTTGAGTGTCATGCTTTTTTTCTGTAACTAAATACAATGGAAAAATAACATGTACATATTAGCTTAGGTGTCTTAATTGTATATACCTATATGTGCTGTGATTAATTGGTGGCAGCTTCATTACAAAAAGTTGCATTTTTAATTTCAAGTTTCTAAATTTCATTTCTAGGTGATGAAATTGAAGTTTCAGAGTGTCATGTTACTGATGGATCTTGCAAAATTTTTAGTGAACAAAAGAATAAGCACAATGGGGGTTTAAGAAAAACTAGAAGACTCCAAAAGGTCAGTTTAACTAGACATATTGATTGTTAAACTCTTTCTTTTTCTTGGAGAATGACTGAGCACCTTTGTATGTACAAAAAAAGCAATGCATTCTCCACGCACTATCAATTTAAAAACTTTCCTCAATCTCACTTTCTTTGAAATGTTAGGGGAATGGTGTTCAAAGACAGCATGTATAACAATGGAAATCAGCTTTCTGCTAACCTGTGGTGGCAGTCTGTGCCAAGCTGATGTTGTAAAGGAGGTTGGTAAGCCAGCTCAAACTCTTCTAGTTAAAAAGCCACTGAAGTAACCTGAGAAGATGCCGATCTTTTTTGGAGGAGTTACTAAATGGGGTAGAGTTTTTTGTTTTACAGTGGATCATACTCAGTGGATATTTCTGCAGGATAAAAATTTATAAACTAAAGTTTTTAACTTACTATTTAAGCTCAGTTTGGATGTAAAAAAAAAAAAAAAAAAAAAGAGGATTGGGTCATCACTGAATCTTTTTAAGGTGTTTTCCCTTGTAAAATGTTTTTTTCTAAGTAAATATAAAACTGATCAGGAAATTAAATAGTAGTTCTTTTTATTGGTAAGCAGCAAGTCATAAAATTAAAATGAGCACTGAATAGTTTTGAGAATGGGAAGTCCTAAAGCACTAAAAGGTGTCTGAGATAATTAATTATATGAGATAAATTAGTCAGGTGTTGTGCTGATAGCTATTGGTGGAGTTTCAAAGAGACTGATCGCAGATTTTGTTCCTCTTTTACATAAAAGTTCTGAGCAGGTGTAATTACTCGGATGTTCAACCTTTTAAACATCCTGAAGAACGGGATATAAATCTCCACGGACCACTGATCTCTGGGTTTAAGTTATTATTTGATTTCTTGCCTGCATCTTTCTGCTTGCTACTTTTCTTCAGTTGCTTGGTGGTGTTTTTTTTCACTTGTTTTTCTAAATATATACATACATATTATTTTTGTAACTAGTAACAGTAAGTATTGTGTAGAATGTATAAATCAACTTCACTTTAGATCCATGTTCTATAGAAACATTATAACATATTCTACTTTTTAGGCTAAATCATCTATCCAGAGCAGTTTCATTTCCTGGCACAGAATGCTGCTAAATGTATATCCACAAACTACAGCCAATGGTTTTTCCTAAGGCTCTCTGCAGAAATGGTGCTTGGAGATTTATCAGATTTGTTGGTACCGATTCCTTCTCCTGTGTAATTAAAGACCATTATACAGTAGTGCTAGTTTTGATTCATTTCTCTTAGGATCCCAACATAACTATTACATGCTGAAGAGAAGAATATAAAGTCCTTATTTCTTGTCCCTCTTTTTCAGGCCTGGTCTCACAGTCAAAGGTGGTATCTCTGAATTGTTCTTTGTGGTGTCTGCTTGCAAAGTATGGTCTGTGAGGTGTTTAACAGTAGCAAAAGCTAAGTAGTAGCTGGAGAAAATTCCGATGCAGTGTTTTGAGGTGGCTTGTTTCAGGCATGTGATAATATAATTTGAGTCAAATATCAGTAAAATAGCAGCACATACTTTCTTTCATGTCATGAATGCTTTGTTTAATAATTTCAAAGGTTTCCAGTTGCATTTTGACTGCAAATTCATATAGAGACAATGTGGGTGGTTTTTTTGATTGAAAAGTAAGAACAACTTTACAAAAATATTTTACGTGGTTTAACCAGACAGTCTGGCAACCAAACTGTTGCACTGAAAAGTTTTACTTCATGTTTTCCTCAAGCAATTGGTTTTTAATATATATTAAATATTTATTAATATGTCTATTTAAGATCTGTTTTCCAGTGGTTGTATGCATAAATGTATGCAAAATTTATAAATCCAATGTTGGAGATCCATACAAAATTCTTAGTGAAGCAATTTAGGAGGATGATGTTGTGAACAAAATTAGACTGTCTAGATTTTTGTAAAGTAGTAAGTTGCAAGGCTGCTTTAGTACCAGTCACAATATGTACTTGAAGCTTTTTAAAAACAACCAAACATTATACAAATTTTTAATAAACATTTTTTTCAATGGCTGCAGCTTAAACATGGCAACGTTTGACAATGTGAAAGTGAAATTAAGTAAGAAAATTTTAGTTTCTTTCCTTTGCCCAAAGAAAAAAGTGTATGAGAGAAATAGCACAACTATTTTTTAAATATAATTTTATTGAATCATAGTATGATAAAGAATTTTCTAATATTTATTTAAATCTTAAAAGAAAGTTTGTTAAAAATACAAGTGCAAATGAAATTAAATACCATTTCCTAGCTATTTTAATGGACTATTTCTAGAAAAGTGACTACGTGAATCTCCAGACCTCTTATATCAAAAAAATCCCCAAATCTTTAAATTACAGTCATTGTAGAGTATATTCAGTTCTGTACTGAATAGTTCCAGTATGAGGCTTGAGATCATATTCTGGGAATCAGTTGTATGTATAATCTGTTAAATTCATTACTTAGCTATAAGTCTCTTAATTTGGGAGGCAATGTAAATTGCAGTTAGGGTTTTTTTCATAGAAAAAGAGTTTGAAATCTAGTACCTCTTTAAAAACATTTTAGATGTTTGCTGAATATAATTTCTGGACAATGTCTAAACTGAAACTTTGGAGTACTGTAGTTATAACTCATTCTCTACTGATTCAAGTGTATTCTACAGTGAACACTACAATTAACCATTCACTGCAGTGAATGCATGTCAGTAGGCACTTGGAGTTCAATATGTGATGGTAAATATTAAAAAAAACAGACAAAAAATATCGTTAGGAAATATGACCCGGCCTAAGTGTTAACATTATTTACTTCCATGGTTATTTCAATTTGTCATTTGTAGTTTCTTGAACTTAATATAAATCAAAATGTAGATCTTGTATTGCTCTGCTGTGATATTTGTTATGCATTTGTTTTCTCAAAACTTCATGCAGATTGAGTTTCTTGTATTTTGTTGTAGCTGAAGTTAAAATCAAGAATTACTTTGTTCAGGTGCTTTTATATCACAGTTTTAGATTACAAGTACTCATATTTTCTTTACCTTTACTATTTATATAGGAATGCTTATTGTACTCTTAACATGGAACACTTCTAATTAAAGTTATATAAAATTGTATTATCAACTAACAAAATCAATGAAAACAGAGCAGTTTATAATGGTACTGCAGGCATGTTGGGGGGAGATAAGTAAGATTTTCAGGAATCTTTAATGGCTTCAGGAACAAACTTTTTAGATTTAAAACACCACCACCACCCCAAAAACACCAGGAGTTTTGGTGTGTTGTACATATTCAAATGCAGCACATAAAGATAGATTTAGAAAACTGGCTGTAGGTTTGAACTTAGTTTTGAAACATGACAACCCATAACTGAGGATAGTTCCAGATTCTTCTCATACAGAGTTGGTAAGGATAAACAGGGTGGATTAATGCCTATGAATGTCAGCAGGTGGCTTCCCTGGTCTAGAAATCTGTTGAAAATACTGGATTGCAGGGATAAAATAAACCCTTTATGCACTGTGATGCAGTTTTCAATTATTCCATGGAATTTAATACATAGGTCTTTGTTGCATTACATAGAGAGGACAAAGTGAAATAACTAAAAATCATAAAGACAGAAATGTATTCAATCAAGTGAGTTACAGTGTTGTTAATCTGCTTGTATGAGTGCTCATGTCATTGCTTAATGTCACAGAAGTGTTTACATTTATCACAACACCTGTTGTATGTCACAAATGTAAACATTTTGTACTTTAAACAGATCAGAGAAAGTCTCATTTGACATGAATAACCAATTAGCTGCCATTTTTAGTCAAATAAAAAGTTGTTTCATATTTTTAGAGGGATATAAGAGGTGGTAGATATTTTAAAGAATCTAACAGTATTACATCACTAGAAATGCAATTAGAATAAATTTTACATGTAAACCCTTAAAATAGTGTCTTCGGAGTGAATAGAAGAAACTCTTCAACCATTTGAAAAAAAAAAAACAGTTAAACATCATAAGGGATAATTAAAACCATATTTTCACAGACAAGACAGTATGGACTTAACTGAAATTCCCTCAGTTTTGTTTTTAAACAGATTCATCTTGACTTGTATTTTTGTAGCTCTTGGATTTGGGTGAAGGTAGTGTTCAACACTGAATGTAAGGTATTTTTGAGAGAAAAGACAATTTTTTACGAAGAATCTAAGCTCATGCTGTGGAACAACTAGTGTGAAGCAGGCTATCGTTAGATCCTTTTATCAAAATCCTTCTTTTTGAAAATATTTTATTCATGGCAAAACAAAGTTTAATATCCTAAAAAATCTGTAACTATAAAACATGAAGCATCTTACCAGACATTCAGGAAAACTTTGTCTATATTTGATATGTGCATTTGTAGACTGTCTTAATCAGATTGTATTGGTTTAGAGAACATATTTTTTCATTTCCCTTTCAATTTTTATTTTTGAGTTTCTTTGAATAAGTACATACATTTTAAGCATTGATACTTTAAATGTTACTGACTTCGAGCCACAAATGAATATTAAACAACTGTGAATTAGAGAAGGTGGAAGCATGCAAGCTCATTTACATTTAACAGTGAAGAAACTGGAACTAGCTACACAGTGATGATCTGGGGAAAATGTAATGGATGTGGTAGACAAGTGGAAAATTTTTCAAATGTATTGCTTCTGGGTGTAGCGATACAATGAGTGACTGAAGCTACGAACTACAAGAGTGCTTGGATGGTACCACCAAAAATCTTTTATGGTATTGACTATATGTCTGGTGGTGTGATTATGCATATCTGATTTGATCGTAGAATGTTTCATGTTTACAAGATGTCTCATCTTACATGAAATAATCCTGAAAGTGTCTGACCAACTCTAGCTAATGACACATGAATCTGGCTCAACATAAAGTTGAAGAAACAAGTTTTTGGGAAAGAAGCTTTTGAGCTACGTTATGGGACAAGTAACTCTGACAGTGTTAGTGACAAAAGGCTAATGTTATGCATCACTGCAGAAA